CCAGCAATGGTCTGAGGTAGGTCTTTTATTACTCCCATGTGCAGATGAGAAAGAAAGTCTTCCTCTCTGATACAGAGAGGATAGGAGATTGTGCAAGGTCACACAGCTAGCAGGTGGAGCAGGGGCTCAAACCTTCTGTCTGCCACCAAGGTCAGTGCTCTGAGTCTCTTGCAATCATTTCCTTTATTGCTGCTCCACAAATTATCACAAATCTTGTAGTTTAAAACAACACATATTTATACTCCTACAGTTCTGGAGGTTAGAATTTCAGAATGAGTGTGAAGGGGCTACAATCAAGATGTGATGTCGGCAATGCTGATTCCTGCTGGAGGCTTCATGGAGAATCCACTCCTTGCACCTTCCAGGGTGGAGGCTGCTTGTATTCCTTGGCTTGTGGCCACATCACTGAGACGACCGCTTCCTGCCTCATCCTACTGCCTTCTCCCTCCTCTGACTACCTGCCTTCCCCCCTCGATTACCCTGGGCTCACCTGGACAACCGAGGATAATCTCCCCATCTCAAAGGGCACAATTTCCTCACATCCATGACTTAATCACATGAGCATCGAATGAACCAGAGATGATAAATGACTTGCCCAAGGCCACAGAGCCAGTCATCGGTTGAAATGGAGCTCATTCCAGTGTGGTCTGTCCACATTTTAAGTAAAATCCAAAGTAGGCACACTTTGGATTTACAGGGAATCTTTCATGTCACAGAAAGTATCCTCCCAGGGTTTCTGTGGTTTGAGAGCCTCTCTGGTGAACCTCGTTTCACAACTGATAATCAAGGAGAACGAGGAAACCATTTGCTTTAAACTAGAGTGTTGGGAATCTGTGAACACTAAAAACCAGAGACAGATACCAAGGGGTGTGGGAGCTAAGACAAGTTTATCTACACTAGGGTTGGCCAATACGTGGGACAGGATGAAGCAGAGCTGACAGGCTGACATGGGCCCTCTAGTCTCCTAGGCCAATGGGATGGGCTTTTATTGGAGGACAGAGTGGGATGAAACAGGCAAAGCCCCTCCTTTGGGTACAAGGCAGGCCTTGCTAATGGGTCACTGTTCTCTTTCCAGCCAGATCTGGATGTGGCCTCACATTCCCTTTAGCAAAGAGCTCCAGGATTCTAGAACCAACCAACTAGATTTGAGTATAAGCTAAAGCTTGATCTGCCATCTTGGAGCTACATGGAGTTTCCAAGGAAATATAACACAGGCTTCTGGGCCACCACCTCCCTCAGAGGTCCCAGTGTCCCAGTGCTAGGCCTCAGATTTCAGAATCCTATTTGAAAAAAATAACAACTCCCCCGACCCCACCTGCAACCCTTTCTATACCAAGGAAGAAAAAGCCAAACTTCTCAGCTATGTTAAGAACAGTGGCCAAAGGAAGACCTGTCACCGACTTCTGACTGGCCGGGGCAGCAGGTCTCTTCTGTTCCTCACCGGCGACCGGGTAGGGCTGGGTGCTCTGCCCTCTACCTTGGGCACCCAGGGGCCCCTCCGCTGCCCTGGAGCCCCGAGGCCTCACACTGTCAGATCTATGTCAGAGGATAAAACCCAAACCTCATTACAGCCTTGGGTGGGCTTTGGAAGCTGCGCAGGGGAGGGGGCGGGCTGTGGGAGACCTACTCCAAGAGGGAGGAAGGGGAGATTTCCAGAAATCCATCTAGACCTGGGTTCACCCCGCTAGGCTCCCCTGCCAGGATATCCTGAGTGTGTGAGATCTTCCTCAGAGGTTACCTCCCTGTCTCCTCTGCCTCCTCCTCCCCTCCTCCTTCTCTTCCCCTCACCCTCCATCTCTTCCTCCCCTCCCCTCCTTTTTCTCTCTTCTTCCCCCTCCCACTCCTCCTCTCCCCTCTTCCTTTTTCTTTTTCCTCCTCCTCCATCCCTTCCTCCTCTTCCCATCTCTTCTCCCTCCTCACTTTTCCCCCCCTCTTCCCCTCCTCCATCTCCTCCTCTCCTCCTCCTCTTTCTCATCCCCTCCCCCTTCATTCCCTCCTCCTCCCCTCCTCTCCTCTCCCTCCTACACTTCCTCCTCCCCTCCCCCTCCTCCCTCACTCCTCCCCCCTTCTCTTCCCCCTCCCCACCCAATCCTCCTCAATCTCCAGCAGAGAAGGAAACTGGCTCAGAGAGGCCAGAGGACTTGCCCCAGCCGCCCAGCTCACACAAGTGGAAACAGGCATTGGGTCCACTCTGCGCTGGTTTCCGAGCCCCTGCCCCTGATGCTACTCCATGGACGTGTTCTGGATCCAGGATTTATTCCTAATGGAATAATGGAACCACTGTATCAGTGGTTCCTAAACTTGAGCAAGCATCAGAATCCCCTGGCAACTTTTGAACACACAGCTCACCGGGCCTGCCTGCAGAGGTCTGGTTCCCAAGGTCTGTGGACAGACCTGGTTTGAGAGCTTGAATTTTTAACCCCCTCCCCAGCAAGGGGCAGCAGTGGGCCCAGAACCCATGCTTTGAGAGCCACCGGGCTCTACTAATGACACACCTTTAGATGGTGGTGTACACGGTGCACAGGGCCTCTATCGCATTGTGGAAATATCCTCATCTTTGGACCAGGACACTGTGGGGCTGCTGCCCTGCTGCTAACTGCTGGGTGACCTGGGATGTGTCCCTTGCCTTCGCTGGGTCCAGTGTTCCCATCTGTACAGGAAGGGTGGGATGAGATGCTCTTGGTCCCCTGGGCAAGCCTGGCAGAGCAGGGATGGGAGGGGTCTAGAGTCAGGCTGGGTCTGACTTCCGTCTCTAGGGAGCTGTGTGACCTTGGACAATGACTTAACCTCTCTGTGCTTCCACTTAGTATCCAGAAAATGAAAGAGATGATAGTTTCTGAGTGTCAATGTCACTGAACTAACAGCTGAGGATGGTGGGGAGAGGAAGGAGAGGTTCTAAGGTCAGGGTGGTGAAGGACATATTCCCACACCTGCCCAAGCCTAGAGGTCTAAAGAGCAATCCCCCCATCCTCTCTCCATCTTCCCTTCTCCCTTCCTTCCCCCATCTCTTTCTCTTTCCTAGTCCTTCTCCCTCCCTCCCTCCCTCCCTCCCTCCCTCCCTCCCTCCCTCCCTCCCTCTCCTCTCTCTCTCTCTCACCTTCTCCCCTCCCTTCCCTCCTCCCCTTCTTCTTTTCCATCCTACACAAGTTATTTTTGGCAGCCTTAGCTTTCGAATGAGACAGACCTGGGTTCAGCCAGGCTCTGTCTCTGTAGCCCCATCTGGGTGCCCTTGGCAAAACAGCTTCCCCCCCAAGGCCCCAGCATTCTCATCAGTAAAACAGGTGAACCACATCTCCTCAGTGTCGTTGGGGGCTCACTTGACTTATTTCGTGGAAAGCCCCTGGCACAGGGCCATGCACACAGTGGGTACTTGCTGTTACTTCTTTCGTCTGGAGGCCGAGGGCTGGGCTCTGGAGCAAGACAGTCTGGGTGGAATCACAGCTCTCCCACCTAACAGCTGTGTGGCTTAGGGCACCTGACTTAACCTTTCTGTGTCTCAACTTTGTCATTGGTAAAATGAGGGCAGAAATGGTACCAACTTCGCAGGGTCGCCCTGAGAATTAAGGAGCAAGGAGCCAGCACACTGTCTGGGTGTCAGCTCTTGTGTTTATTCTGCTGCTGATGCAATCATGCGGACAGTGAGCCAGGCACCAGGCTTCGTGCTGGGGCCTGAGCAGGGGACAATTCCCTTCCCAACAGAGTTTCCAGTGCAAGGGAGAGAGATGCTCTAACAGGAGGGGACACTCCTGTGGCTGTGATAGAGCCCCAGGGGCCGAGAGCAGAACCCCCAGCGGTGGGAAGGCTCTTGGGGAGGTGGTCCCCAAGCTGAGATTTGAAAAGGTAGCAGGAGACTCTCTGAATAATAAATATATATTCATAGGAATTTTACATAAGAAAATAATTGGACAAGTGTGCCATGGGGTGTATCTTACAGTTAAAAAGATGAAGTGAAACTAACCAATCACCAGGAAAGTGCGGATTCAATAATCCAGAGCTTGCTGCCTATGTAAGTGATGAACTGTCTGTATCCATTTGGGAAACAAAAATTAAATAAACAAACAAACCAGTGCATCGATTCATTGAAATCATGAGCAGCTGTTAAAACAGGGTAAGGTGTGTCCGCGCGCACGCGCGCGCGCACACACACACACACACACACACACACACCTATCACTGAATGAAAAAGCAGGTTACACTATGGTACACGAAGTATGACTGTGCTATTTTCCATTTATATATAGAATGTGTGTGTGTGTTCATACCAAAGTGTTAATGATATTTCCCTCCGGGGAGCAGAGTTTGGGAAGAAAGCAGGATTTATATTTAAACAACACAGGGTCTGAATGTAGTTAAAGGTTTTGATGTATTTTGTCAGACAGCTCTCCAGAAACGGTCTATCAATGTATATTCCAATTATGCATAAGATTTTTGCTTCCCGGTGACATTTACTAAAACCAAACGTTATGAGACGTTTTAATCTTTGTTCATTTGATACTTCAAGGAAAATAAATCTCAGTGCTGTTTTAATTTGCAAAGAAAGGAAGAAGGGAGCAGGAGGTCACGGAGCCGCACCTAGGCGGCCAGGAAGGGCATCCCAGCGGGCGGCGGGGAGAGAGGTGGTGGCCCAGGGTGCTGGGACATCCGGCTGCTCCGGAGGCCCTGGCAGGGAGCGGCCACTTCCCACAGCTGCCTGGGGCTCGCATGTGCTCCTGGTTTGCGCCCAGATGGTGGGCAAGGCTCCCAGCTGGGCTCTGCCCCCAGAGGGGCGGGTCGTCCTCAGCAGGCCCTGCCACCAGGCACCAGCCACCAGCCACCAGCCACCACCCACACGCCCGCCCAGCTGGCAGGCAGGGGCAGCCTCCCCCGCCGCCCCCACTCCAGCAGCTGGCCGCCCCCAGCCTCGGCCAACCCAGTTTCCTGCCCCGCCCTCCCTCTCTCTCCTCCCTCCAGCTGTTTCTCTGGCAGAGTCCTGTCCCATTCAGGACAGCGGCTGCGCTCGCTCGAGGAGCTCAGGACAGCACGAGGTCTCCCACAGAGCCCCCCCCCCCCAGTGAGGGTTGAGGGGGTTCTAGGGGAGGCTGCAATCTGGTGGGGAGCGGGGGGTTCCAGGGCATCTTGAATGAATGGACACATTGCCTTCTGGACAGACAGCCGCAGCCGAAGAAGAACGGTGTGACCGTGACCTCGAGAAAGAAGTCTGGCAACAGGGGGCCCCCTGCACAGCCTACAGTGGCCCGAAGTCCAGGGGAGCCCCTGGGAAGACCTAGGCGGAGACCAGCCACAAGGTATCACGCTCGGCTTTGACATCGCCCAGAGGGGCCAGGAACGGGGGATACCAGTAGAGAGAGGAGGCCCGGGGTTCTGCTTAACATTTAATGTTTGTCGAGATGAAAACATCATTTGCAGGTTTCCGAAGTCGTGCATGCTAATTGTAAGAAACAGCAGGGCCGCCCTACTGTTAAAAGCTCGGTGTTTTCCTTCTCCGAGGCAGGTGCTTCCATCTTACAGGTGTCCTCATTTTACAGGTGAGCGGAGCGGGCTCAGAGAGGGGGAGGCACTGGCCCAGAGCTGCAGAGACCACAAACCGGGTCGGCGGGGGAGGTGGCAAGACTGGCATGAAGCCAGCGACAGCGCAGCCCGCCGCCCTCGCCCCCGGGCTGCAGCTCAGTACAGAGAGGTCCTCACCCGGAGGTGGCCTTTCGGGCGGCCCTCTCCATCGCTCACACGCTCGCTCGCTCACTGATTTATCTCTGATGTTTGTTGAGTGCCTACTAGATGTGGCAGGCGTGTAGAAGTATGTAGGTGTGGACTCACGCACACGTTTCTAACGTCTTGTTGGCACCCCCACCTCGTCCTTCCCCGCAGACTGGGAACTTCTATGTATATTCCTCCAGGACACATTTTAACGGCTGCACAGAAAGGCTCTCCTGGGGTTTATTTAACCCTTCCTCACTGTGGTGGTTTCCTTCTTCCTTTTTTCATTTTTTCCCCATGACTACAAACAGTGCTGTGATGACCGCTCTTGTACCTCATCTTTGCACGTCTGGCCTATGGATACCTTTCCAAAGGCTAAATCACTGAGTCGGAACACTGAGTGCTGTTCTTAAGGTTTGTGAGGCTTCTGGCTGTTTCTCTCAACATTTCTTTATTACTGCTGATTATCCTTGTAATCTTACTGTTCATTTTTCTTTTATGGTTATGCCGGTCAAGTCCGCTCCCACTTTTTTCTGTCGGCATGTTTATCTGTTGATTTTTAAGAGGTCTTTGTATATGAAGGATGGGAACCCTTTGGCAGTGCTGCCAAATCATCATAATCATAACTGCTGCTCCATATAAGTCTGATCACTCCGACCATCTTGTGGTTCAGATAGGCCAGCGAGGAAGTGGCCAGGTTTGGGGGTCTGTCTGTCTTATTTTTTTCCATTAAGAGGCCTGATCCCCAGCTTCCCTTTTGGCAGCCCTTACTTCCTTTTGAAGACTGATCATACCTGCGGTTCTTGCTATCTTTTCTCCTTCCTCCGAACTGGCTCAGAGGAGAGACACTTTCATATGCCTGGGTTGCCGAAATGAATGTAATTGGCCTCCGCTGGTGGGAGGAGGGCGGCTTGGCATTTCCTCAAGAAAGAAGGCTTAACTTAAACCAGGGATGCTCAGGTGGTGGGGTGTCAGGCCCTGAGAAGCCCAAGGAAGAGTTCTCTCTGGTACCCAGGGACCTTCTCTGGACTCTACCAAAACTTCAAGGAATAGGTAAACCTTATCTTGGGCGAGGCACTCCCTTCTCTGGTTTGAGCCCTTTGGAGAGGTCTTTCTCTGGGTACCCAGTCTTGACTGTCTCTTCTGCTAGGCTGGGGGCTCCTTGAGGCCAGATTTGGGGGATTTACTATTCTCTCTGTATCCTCAGTAGGTAGGTGCTTGGTAAATATTTAATGAATAAATAAAGGAACCAGGCCTTGGTTCTACTATCTGCAAGATGGGATGGGAGAGTCGGACAAAATCTCACCCCTTAGGTATTTCTTTAATTAACTCCTCTCAGTTTGCAGACCACTTTACTGCCATGATTTTCTTGAATCTTCGCTATGGTTGTGTGATAAAGGTATTCTTAATATGCCCATTTTACAGATTTGGAAACTGAGCCCCAGGGAGGGGTTCCAACATTAGACCTCCACAAGAGGCAGTGGTACATCATGGCCAGAGTTAGTTTGTTTGGGTAGATTTGAACCCAGTCTGCTCCCTGCCACCGAATGACATAAAATAAGTTATCTGTATGTTCCCATTTCCTCATCTGTAAAATGGGAATGTCATAAAGATTAAATGAGATCACACACGTGGAGCACTTAGCAGAGGGCTTGTCGCGTCATAAGGAGCTCTATAAACACGAGCTATGATTCTATTATCATTTCTATACCACCTGCTGTCTGTACCTTCGACACCCATCTGAGCCAAATAGAAAGTATTATTAATTTCTTTAACAGTGTGTTATTAGTGCTCGGGTTCCCATCAGAGTCCTGAAAAACCTAAAAGCCTATTTCACTTGCTTTGAGCTACACTGCACGAATGTGGTTATTACTGCAAGTAATTACTGCCAGCTTCAAGGCTACAAGGTAGACCTGGGGCTTCTCAAAGTGCAGTCATGGGATTGCTGACATCAGAATAAGCATGAATAATATTATTCATGCCAAATAATCATGAGTATTTCCTAAAGCTTCAGTTTTTTGAACCAGAATCTCCGAGATGAGGTGTGGGAGTCTGCATGTTGCACCAGCTCCCCAGTTGATTCTGATGCACCCCAAAACTTGAGGGCCATGCAGCTAGCGCATATGAACTTCTTTTCTTTTTGCCTTTTGTCCAGGTTTCTGGGTTGTTTATTGCACACTGAGGTTTATTTTTTTTTCCTTTCTAAGCAAGTATCTATGTACTTCTGTGAGTCTACATGTCCTGTGTCAGCAGTTGAGGCCAGGAGGCATGGTGCAGAAGTGAAACTTTATCTTGAAAGTCAGAGTGTGGTAGCCATTACCCAGTGTGTGGGCTTTGGAATTATTTTAAGAAACAGAGCTCTTTCCTCCAATGAAAATATATGGAGGGCTGCAATTGGAAAACAGATAAAAGGTATGTTATTCTAATGGAAATGGAAGTAGAGAGGACCCCGGGCCACAGTTCACAGAACCTCACTTTTACAGCTCGGTGGGGCAGGTTGAAAATGACAAATATACTCCAGATTGGTAAGAGACCAAAATTCTTGAGCTTTGTGGAATTTGCTATGGGAGCTTAGGCAGGGTGTTCTCACTCTCCGGTCATAAGCATCATCACCTTTGTGGACAAAGAGGTCGGATGTTATATTACTCAGGGTAGTAGCTGCAGTAATAAATATACCCAAACATGTACAACGGCTCAAACCAAACAGACGTTTATTATAAGGCAGGTATTTCTGCATGGGGGAGGTCCTCTTCCATGCCTGTCCCTACTGTCCTCTTGGACATCACCACTGATGAAAGACAGCATGGGGGTGGCACATCTGCTTCTTCACTGCCTTCTGCCATAGGGGAGAGCTAGTCATGTGGCCAGTCTAGTCCCAAAGGAGACTGGGAAATGGAGTTCTGGGCAGGGTGGCTCCTTCTCAATTGTATGCTGTAGAAGGGAAGAATGGATTTTTGTGGACAGCTAGTTGTCTCTGCCACAGATATGGTATCCTCTTGGGTCTCTCCCATTCTCTTGATTTTAAGTCTAAACTTTCATTAACATAGAGTTAACAAGGTGATGTTGAATCCACAAATACTTTCCTATCCTCAAGAAAATCCCCATCAGATATACTGAGTAAATGCCCATGTTCCAGACCTGTCAACATGGGTTTCCCTGGAACTTAGGAAACTGCTATTCTCTTTCCCTCCTGGAGAACGGAAACAAGCATAACAATTTTATTGAGCACAGCAAACTTCCTGGGCCCAAGGCTTTCCTAGCCAGTATCTCCCTATATACCTGGAAAGACTTCGTGATTATCATCCCCATTTTATAGGTGAAGAGAATGAGGATCAGAGAGGTAAAGGGACTTGCCCAAGGTCACATACCTTATAGACAAAAGAGCTGGGATTTGAACTCAGAAAGTCCTTGTCCTGTCCTAGGGTAGCATCACACATTGGATGTGTGTGTGCAAGCATATATGTGTGCATGTGCGTGAGTGCATGTGCATGTTTGTGCTTAGGGTAGGGATTTTCCTCAGGCTGTGTTCCCCCAGGGCTGGGCTTGAGGAAGTGGAAGTGCAGGAATCATTGTCCATATCCTTTTTTTTTTTTTTTTAAATTTTTTTTAATTTTTATTTATTTATGATAGAGAGAGAGAGAGAGAGAGGCAGAGACACAGGCAGAGGGAGAAGCAGGCTCCATGCACCGGGAGCCCGACATGGGATTCGATCCCGGGTCTCCAGGATCGCGCCCTGGGCCAAAGGCAGGCGCTAAACCGCTGCGCCACCCAGGGATCCCCTCATTGTCCATATCCTTAGAATGGGCCACACTTGCTGGTCATAAGGCAGCTGGGTGGTTGTCCTGGCCTGGAGGTGCTAAGTGTGTCTAAGTATTACAGCCACTCATCAGACAAAAGGGAAGGGGATGGTGGAAGGACACAGACCCAGGGTGTCGGGATGACACTGATGCTAGGCTGCGTCAGACACATCATGGGTGGTTGGGAACATTTTCCTGCATGAATAAGCCGATGGAGAAATGGAAGTTGCACCAATGTGAGGACTTAAAATGAATTGGACCTAATCTCTGTTCTCAAGGCCCTCGGGGAGGGGAGGCAAATTAGTAGCATGTACTTTCATTTATTCACCCAACAAACATTAACTAGCAGCTGCTATGTGTCTGACACTCCGTGAGGCAGAATGATGAAAAAGACAGGACTCTTCCTGCCCTCATGGAACTTTGGAGGGGCCTATGGGGGTCCTTGCTTTTGCCCCCATTGTAGACAGGGGGAAGGTGAGGCCCTGATTGGTTCAAGGTCACTTGATGGGAGTAGGACCTGGGCTCCTGGTTCTCAGTCCAGATCATCCTTGTTTCCCTGGCTGAGGGAGAGGGAAGCAGGGAAGGTGCCTTCCCAGTCACTTTGGTGCTGCCTGTGGGCATCAGGACATGCTGCCTGTGGGCATCAGGACATGCTGGTTCCAGGCAAAATTAGGAAACCGGTTAATTTACTTCTCTTTTAGAACTTCTATAGTTTTGCAGTGATGGACGCAACAGGATGGAGAAAGTAGAATTTCCTTCCCCTGCTGGGTGGAACGAAGAGGTAGTAATTCTAC